GGGGGGGGGGGGGAAGGGTGTATATGTGTGCAGTGGGTGAAGTGGAGAATAAAATTTCATCTTCCATACTTTAAACATGCAAAATACACTTCTGCAAACTACTGCTTTTTCTCTCCACTCACTTTAGTTTAGTATCTGTTAAATCCAAGGATATATTTTTTCAGATAGGAAATTAACATAGACAACAAACCCCCTGAGGACAGGGACTATGTACTTACTTCCCCAGTGAATCCCATGGCCTAGCCCATATATAAGACTGAATGAATAAATGAGGGATTAAATAAAGGTTGGGATGGAGTGAAACAGCCCCACATTTTTTTTATTATGGACAATCTTCTCCATATCTTTCTATTTATATTGGTTTACAAATATATTTTTCAAATTATTAGATTAGAAAATTATTCCTACCAGCATCCAGCATATGGTAATGATTGTAAGGGAAATTTTTTATTAGTCCTCTTTGTAAATTTCAATTTCAATTATTTCAATTCCTTATATGTGAGAAGTGTTGAAATTAACAGAATTTAGTTCATATAATGTCAAGGAGTTTGGTATGCACATGAAAATTACCGTGACTGTTACAGGTTTTTTTGTTTTGTTTTGTTTTGTTTGGTCAAAGTCCCTAAAAGACAGTTGGAGAACAAGGGAACAAAAAAGCCCCCAAATCCCAGAACCGAATGCAGCCATTATTTAACATCTCCGTATGTTTCCTTCCAGGCCCTTTTCTCAATGTTGAGCCTTGTGGCTGTGGGTGGAAAGGGATTCATCAGCCAAATCCTACTGGGAGGGTCAAATCATGGTATTTAGGAAGAGGCGTGAAAACTATACCCCTGTAGCTGAGACACTCCTTTTATTATTTGTATTTTCCCATTTTGAAAAAATAATTGCTGCTACCAAACACCCTCCACAGCACTACACCCCATGGCAATCAAAGGAACTGAACCATATCTGGGTGCAGAAAACAGAGGGGGTGCACAGACAAACCAGAGAAGTAGCTGGATATGGTGGAACATGATGGAGGAAAGCAGAATGCCCTTAGAACATGACTTATAATAAGTTGTGTTGTTCACATTCTATGAATTTAACTATTTCTAGTTGCAGGAACCTAGGAAATCCTGCATCCCATAGTCCTCGGCCTGCCCCACAGAAATGTGACCTTGGGACAAGTCTACATGTGTCCAGAATGGCACGGGAAGAAGAGAGCTTGGATAGCGAAAATGAACAAACTGAGAAAAAAACAGATAAATGTCTTGGAGGAAATTGGAAGTTTTTATCCAGGCCCTGCTTTGTAACATTCAAAGGTTATGTGAATCATGGGTATGCCAACCGTCTAAATATCTCCATAAAATTTTCATTTCAGATTGAGTTCCACCATGCTGACCCGCCTTCTGACTCCTTTATGATATCCTCAGTTCAACCACACCCTCTACCCTCCAAGTCCCGTACAACACGCTCTGTCCATCACAGAAATCCAAATCAGGCTCAGACTAATGGGAGACAGATTCTGATACTCAATGAGGACAGAGCAGATGAAAGGCCGACTCCCCACCTCACGGAAGAGGGCTCTTTCCAGATGCATTCCTGTGTGATTGTGCTAGGTTTCAGACGTTACTGGATATTTATTAGATGGGTTCCTTTTTTACCGTTAAGCATTTTAACATGCATTATAGAACATACTTTGCTTCTTATTTTCACTTACAATGATATAATCAAGTATCTCTATTTTATTAAATGGCTGTTGTAACTACCATTTTAAGAACTGCCTGATGCCCCGGGCACTATGCCCACCACTGTCTATTTCTCCCATGGTCAAAGATCTAGACGGAAGAAGTTACTTTGTAAAATCCCAATGTGGACTATTCACTGGAAGGACTTAATGATTTACACCAAGGGTTCAGACGTTTTGATACTTTGTGAAGACAGATGTCTCCCACCCAAACCAGGAAATGTACCATTCAGAGTCCTGTGTTTTATTGTCGCTTTTTTTTTTTTTTTTTTTTTTTGTTTTTAGCACTACTAACCAACTCTCTGTTTTTCTGTTTATAGACAACAGCTCATTAAGTAATATAGTAATTAAGTAAGTAGCTACTTTATATAAAGCTGCCAGGGGTTTGGGGTATCACTTCAGAAAGGGGCATGGAATAATAAAAACTATGAGCCCAGCCACACACACTTCTTCTGGGGTCAATTGTTGGATATTTTGATTTTAATTCATAGCAAGAGGTCCTCTGGCAGGGCCTGGTCCTGGAAGCTGACTGACGGAATTGAGGGGATTTAAGAAAGAGAAGGAAGGCTGTAACCAGAGCCCAGAACGCCTTCTCTTTTTAAAACAACAATAAATGATGACTCTTCTCTCTCATACATAGATAAGGCTTGGCAATTTCTGAGTAAAATAAATTCAAAATAAGATGTGCCGCCATGTGAAATACCTTTGGTTAAGCTGTCCTGTGAATGACTAAATTCAAGACACAGATGTGAGTGTGTATGTATGTGTGTGTGTGTGTGTGTGTGTGTGTGTGAGAGAGAGAGAGAGAGAGAGAGAGTGTGTATATGTGTGAGAGAGTGAGTGTTTGTGGGAGACAGAGAGAAAAAAAAACACATGTATTTAATATGAAATAGGTGGAAATAAAGATAGGGCCCTTCTGGGGCGCCTGGGTGGCGCAGTCGGTTAAGCATCCGACTTCAGCCAGGTCACGATCTCGCGGTCTGTGAGTTCGAGCCCCGCGTCAGGCTCTGGGCTGATGGCTCAGAGCCTGGAGCCTGTTTCCGATTCTGTGTCTCACTCTCTCTCTGCCCCTCCACCGTTCATGCTCTGTCTCTCTCTGTCCCAAAAATAAATAAACGTTGAAAAAAAAAATTAAAAAAAAAAAAAAGATAGTGCCCTTCTGTTCCATACAAGGGAGGATGGGTTGGAAGTGGAAGCCATCTGTCCCCAATGAAGGGTATTTTATCAGTGACATTGTTTAAGAAGTCAGTTGTGTCGGGGCCCCTGGGCAGCTCAGTCAGTTAAGTGTCCAACTCTTGATCTTGGCTCAGGCTGTGATCTCATGGTTCATGGGTTTGAGCCCCGCATCATGGAGGCTGCTTGGGATTCTCTCTCTTTCTCCCTCTGTCTCTGCCTGTGTGCTCTCTTGCTCTCTCTCTCTCTCAAAATAAATAAATAGACATTAAGAAGAAAAGTCAGTTGTGTTATTACTTTTAAATCTCTATTGCAACACACTCACCACTGTCTGTACTCGGGATAGAACATTCACACTTGCCAAACCTTGGGTGCCACCGGTCCCCTCAGAAGCACCTTATCACCCTTACAAAACAAAATCAGCTGGGGTAGTGGTTATAATTCCACTTTAAAGATGAGGAACCTAAGACTCAAAGAACTGAAGCAACCTGCCCCCGGCCATGTGGCTCATAAGAGGTCAACTCAGGATTTGAACTGCATACATTCGGAGTCAAAAGACTACATCCTGTGAGACACGCTGACTGCATAGAGATGGTGGCTAGAGCTTTTATTCACAGAGAGAGAAAGGGGAAAAGCAAGAAGAGTAAGAGCGGAAAAAGAGAGAAACACAAACACACAGCAAGAGTGGAGAGAGAGAGAGAGAGAAGTTAGTTACAGACTGGCCATTTTTACATTTTTGGGCCTAAGATCTTTCCCTTCTTGCCTGATAATATTAAAAAAAAAAAAAAATTTTTAGGGGCGCCTGGGTGGCTCAGTCGGTTAAGCGTCCGACTTCGGCTCAGGTCATGATCTCACAGTCTGTGAGTTCGAGCCCCGTGTCGGGCTCTGTGCTGACAGCTCAGAGCCTGGAGCCTGTTTCCGATTCTCTGTCTCCCTCTCTCTCTGCCCCTCCCCTGTTCATGCTCTCTCTCTGTCTCAAAAATAAATAAATATTAAAAAAAATTAAAAAAAAAATAAATTTTAAGCCAGAGTGCTATGTTGAAGTCCTACTCCTAGTGCGTCAGGATGTGACTGTATTTGGACATGGGGTCTTTAAAGACATCACGAAGTTAAAATGAGGTGATTATGGTGGGCCCTAATCCAATGTGACCAGGGATCTTGTAAAGAGGAAATTCTGACACAGAGAAGATACAGACACTGAGGGAAGATGATGTGCAGACCCAGGGAGAAGATGATCATCGACCACCTGAGAGCCAAGGAGAGAGACCTCAGGAGAAACTGCTCCAGACGTCACCAAGCTCCTGGACGGTCCGCCTCCAGGAGAAAAGAAGCGTCTGTTCTTCGAGCCACACAGCCTGTGGTATTCTGTTATTATGGCAGCCCCAGCACACGCACACTCTGTCAGACTCACATGGAGGCAGCACGTCTGGGGGGTGGTCCCATGCTGACACTGACAAAGCCGCTCTCCCCATGTGACCAGTTAGCGGGGCCCTGCTACCTCCGCAGGAACAGGGTTCCAGGATCAGGCCAGGACCCACTGCAGGGACTGGCTCCAAATTAACGTTTCTGCTAGGGCACGACCCCACCTTTCTCTTTTTTTCTGTGTCAAGCCGACGTTTCCCAGGAAGTTGGATTAAACGTGCACAGGCAGCCTTTGGCAGAGATGGGCCCTTGTACGGGCGCTGGTGAATCGGGGCCTTAACCAAACACGAAATGACAGAACCGTTTCCAGCGGAGGACTAACTGAGCCAACTCAAGACAAACACAACGTATTTTGGCATTGCTTTTGACAGACGGAAACAAAATAAACATTAGCAACCGGACTGCAGCTAACAATATGCAAAATTAAAGAAGATACCTTTTTAACTTTGTCTGGGAGCCCACCGGCTTTTCTTATAAAATCTGCCGAAGAAAAAAGAAGACAGAGCTGTTAATCTCGTTACACAACCAGTTAGCACATGCAAACAAGGGAAATTAAAAGTCTTTGCATTCAGGGGAGGAAATAGATATTTGACACATATATTTATTAAGGAGACTGGACTGGAAAATAGCACTGCTGTATTAATCAGAAATGGTGTAGGAAATACTTAAATAATATAACAGAATATGCACAGACAGCATAAGCTGCTTACAGATGGAAGCCTAAGGTCCAAGTATTTTTATTTGAAGGTTAAATTTTCAATTAATTTTTTTCAGCTTGTTGCCATCTCTTCCAAGCATCACTGTTAATTGCCATAAAACAATACCTCTCCCTGTTTAAATTCTGGACATGGAGGCCAGAAGCCGTCAGCCATCTAATGAGCATCAGAGTATTGGGGCAGAAAGGAAAACCACTCTGTAAGAGCTGAACCAAAACATCAGGCCCCGAGAAGTCAACTGATCGGTTAAAGCCCGTTTTTCCATTTGCTCAGTTTTCCAGAAGTTACATTTATAAGTTCCAGCCTGTCACTGGAAAGTACACATAGAAGCCTTCTTTTATTGGAATTTCCATACATCCCAACTTCGGGGATTTGTGGCAGCCAACGGTCTGTATGCCCACTTACTTGCTGGCTCACCAGAGAAGGAACATGACGTTTTCTTTTTCTTTAGGATGGAACAATATACATGTCCCGGCCGTAAATGGGCTTATTCACTTCTGCTCAGTTAACCGGCACTGCAGGGCTCTCTTCCAGGCTGAGATCCAGCCCACATCGTGTGGGATGACACGAAAACAGACTTTAGAAAGCACTGGTTGGAGAACTGAGGTTGGAAATACGGTTTCATCTTGACTTGAAGACAGGATTAGAATGAAGGTTTGGAGCATAAATACATTCACATAGGTTTGGGCTGGAAGACCTCTGTGTTGAGAGTCAGAGTTAACTTTGGAAATGATTTTAGGTTGAGAATAAAGGAGAAAAATGCCATTGATGATAAAACGCATAACACTGCATTTAATTTAAAATGGCCTAGCATCCTAGAAAAAAAATGGCCTTTTCTAACAAGGCAACTTTACTTTGTAACCCAGCACCACCACTTACTGCTTATATAACTTTGTGTAAGTCACCTAAACCCTCAACCTGTTTCTTTAGCTGTAAAATGGGAGTGATAATGTCTACTCCATACCTTCTTGAAAAAAGCAATAGAGAGAAATGAATAGATAATAGGTCAATCTTGTTCTCCCTTCCTCCTAGGGGACGTGTGGCATTGTTTGGGGAAATTTTTGATACCAGAGAGTTGGGTAGTGAGTGCTACTAAAATCTAGCGGACAGAGGTTCAGTATTACGCTATATACCCCATAACAATAGGACAGACCCCCAAGAATTGTCTTTCCCAAAATGCCAGTAGTGCTGATACTAAAAAACCCTGATTTAGATATAAATAGGCAGATGACAGAACACAGATAAAAAGCTAAATTTTTAGCCTTTGGGGAGGAATGTATAGATCATCTATAAATTTACAGGTAGATCAATTAATACAATGATGAGAAATATTCTGACATGGGATACTCTAGACATTCAACAAACGTAAATAAGTTTTTATTAAATCCGAAGAGAAGATTAACAACATCATGGTTGGGATGAGGTTACAGATGGTGCTAAGCATGAAACAGTAATGTTACTGATGGAAAAATGCCACCATCATGCCGGGTGCTTGGTATTTTTATCACATTTAAGAAGGGGGTCATCTGAGTCTAGGGCTGGGGCTCGTGTTAGAGCTACGGGTCCAGGGAAGGTTGGGATCAGGGCTGGCAGACCCTTCCCAACAAGCAGCCAAAGCTCGCTAATTATTTTGGCAACATGCAGACAGTCTCTCCAGTGCCAAGCATCTAAGTCCCTATTCGGAGTCCCTGCAGTTCCACAGGAGAGGGGCAGACCCCATGTGGCCTATACATGTCAGGGCAGCCCACCCTATAGTTGCCCACTTTCTCAGGCAATGGTATTAAGATTATCTGGAGTATGTTGATGACCCAGTTCTATCCCAGCCTTTGTATCCAACTCCATGAGGAAGGAGCAGCAGTGGCTTAAGAGATCGGGATTTCATGTTAAGAGGAGATGCTAGGAACATTCCAATATTAAACCCGCTTTGAGAAAAGGCAACTGTTTGTTCAACTCATATTTAAGAGAATAAGAAGTGTATGAGGTTCAAGCCAATGTCTATACCCTGTGTCCAATCTATAGGAGTATTGGGCATCTCCAGAATCTAGGAGAGCAGGGCCTTTGAGAGATAATAGGAGGGCTGGCCACCTGCAGTCACACCTTCACATCCTCCTGTCAGGAAAGTGGGTCAGCATAATCACACCACAGTGTGAGAAGATAAATCTGTAACGTCATCATACATATGAACAAAGAAACAGTGTTCTGGCTGGAGAAAGTCTGCTTGAACAGAAGTGAGTTTTCTGATTGGAATAGGCTAAAGGGGAGAAAAAAAATAGACTGGAGCACTTGGGTGGCTCAGTAGGTCAAGCATCGGACTTTGGGTCAGGTCATGATCTCACAGTTCGTGAGTTCGAGTCCCACATTGGGTGAGCTTGAGCCCCACTTCGGGTGAACATAAGCCCTGCTTCTCTCTCTCTCTCTCTCTCTCTCTCTCTCTCTCTCTCTGCCCCTCACTCACTTGCGCCCTCTCTCTGAAAGAAAGAAAGAAAGAGAGAGAGAGAGAGAGAGAGAGAAAGAAAAAGAAAGAAAGAGACTTGACAATGATTCACCTGCAATGTCCTGGCTGAGAGTCATTGAATCTGGGAAACAGTAGCAAACTGGACCATAAATGGGCATCTGCAATAAGTGGCTGGTTTGGTACGTGGGCCCCTTCAGTGGCCAGTGTGAGCCATCCGTGATACTGTTGATCACCCCAGGTTCTTACACCATGCCCAGAGAGTGGGCTCCAGATGGCCAACAACCTGCCAGATATTCAGTGCAGAAGGTGTGAGCTCTCATAGGGCGATGTAAACCTTCTTGTTCCTGGGAAGGTCAGTTTCTTCATTATAAATTCAGAATGGACTTTGGTTCCAACATGTCTCCCCAATCTGGATTCCCATGCAATTCCATGGGCTAGAGAGGTCTGACGTTCTGCCAGCAAGTTTTAGTGAGTAAAGGAGAAGTTAAATTTTGAACCACCGTAACCTTGCCGTCTTACTTCCGGCAGGCTCCTAACGCGTGCACGCATACACGCGTGCTCACACTTAGACAAAATCTACACACCATAACATTTACCCATTTGAAGTGAGAAATTCAATGATTTCTTTCATGGTAAACTTTCACTGAGGTGCAACCATGACCACAATTGCATTTTAGAACATTTCTAACAGCTCGCAAAGATCCTCCTTGTACTCTTTTGTAACTAACCCATTCCCACCTTCTAGTCTCAAATGACCACTGGTCCATTTTTTTGACCTCCAGGACTTGCCTTTTAGGGGCATCTCACATAAACAGAATGATACATCAGGCACTTCTCTGCATCTGGCTGTATCCGCTTAGCACAATGTCCCCTGAGATGTGTCCATGCTACAGTATGTATGGTACTTCACTCCTTGTTAAGTCTAAAAACGGTGCTTGATTGTGTGGATACACCACATTTTGTTTACCTGTCCATCTGTTGAAGGACGTTTGTGTTGTTTCTACTTGTTAGCTATAGTGAATAACGTGGCTATGAAGTTGGTTTGGTTTTCATTTTCGTTTTTTGCTTGGGGCAGCTATGAAGTTTTGTGTACAAGCTTTCGTTTGGACGGATGTTTCCATTTATTTCTTTTGGGTAGGTACCCAGGAGTGGAAAAGCTAGGTCACTTCGTAAATTTATGTTTCCCATGGTGGGATCTTGAGCAGCCCCTGACCCAGCCTCCTCCTCAGCGTGGTGCAGGCTCATAATGGGATAGCCTGAGAACCTAGCTACTAGGAGTTGATAGCATTCATTTCCTGGGAGATTTTGAAGTTTTCGAAACCGTACCCAGCTTTAAATGGAGGACGACCTTGTAGCAGCCACCTGAGATTGCTATTTCAATCAGAGGATTCTCTGAAACAAGTGAAAGCGTCTTGAAGAGTTGATAATACGATATTACTGCCGTCATTAGTGTTACCCATTTGCCGTCTGCGATTTGAAACGGTGGGGTTTTAAGCTCCATGGTAGGATCAGGAAGCAGCTAAAAACTAATGCAATGAACCCTTGACTCTGATGTTTGGTCTCAACACTCCCACTTCCCAGTTACGGGACCTTCCCCACAGTGATGTGCCTTCCCAAGCTTTAATTGCTTCGCTTAAAAAATGGGGCCACCAACCTCATCTCTCAGGGTTTCCATAGGATTAAACAAATTGGCAGCACATTTAATCTGGTCCTGTGGGGCTGTTGGGTGGTTAAATTACCTGACCCTAATTTTAATCTAGAAAGTCTGTGTATCTCAAGGGAAACCTCCAAGAACTAAAATATGCAGCAGGATAGGCCACATATGATTCTGAGAGCAATTCCAATGGGGGTGGGGGGCTTTCCTGCACCAACCAATTCTCGGACACCACCTGGGTGTCCTGCAATTCAACTAAATTCTGACACTATCGACCTAGAGATAGCATCAGATCCCCCAAGTTAAGGGTTAGTCCTACAAGACTCCTCCTATCCCCTTTAGACACCAGGCACAAATCCAGATTGTCACCTATACTTCCGATCTACTAGCTATAAATCAGACATTCCAATGAACCCCTCCTAGGGTTTGATTAATTTGCTAGAGTGGTTCACAGAACTCAGAGAAATATGTTATTCACCAGATTACCAGTTTATTGTAAAAAGATACAACTTAGGAACAGCTAGATAGAAGAGGTGCACAAGGCAAGGTATGTGGGAAGGGGCTCCGAGCCTCCATCCACTCTATGGCAGGCCCCCTTCCCCAAATGTCCACTTGTTCACCAACCTGGAAGCTCTATGAATCCTGTCCTTTGGGG